TCTATCAAGATAACATGAAAAAAAAAAAAAGGGTTGCATGTTCTTCAATCAACCACTCTTATGACTAAATGGGTAATTGAAGTGGAACAGAGTTATAAAGGAAATGTAACTACTCAAGAGAAGATCACAGCTCATATTATAAATCCTACAGGTGATTCTGACTATTTTTTCAATAATGGAGTACTCAAGTACAAAGACAAGGTTTATATTGAAAGTCAAGGTCTGTTGAGGACTCAAATATTGCAACTACTTCATGATTCACCCTAGAGAGGTCATTCAAAAATCCAAGCAACCTATTATAGACTCAAACTCTATTTTTATTGACCTAAGATGATGAAGCATGTGCAAGATTATGTGTAATAATGTTACATATGTCAAAGGAATAAAAGTGAGCATATTGGTTATCATAGTTTACTATAACAAATTCCAATTCTTACACAAACTTGAAAAGTGATAACCATGAACTTTGTGGAAAGACTGCCTCAATCTCATAAATTCAATTATATTATGGTCATCATTGACAAATTTACTAAATATGCACGTTTCTTGCCTCTTTCTCATTCTTACACTGCCTCAGATATGGCTAAGGCATATTTAAGTCAAATTCATAAACTTCTTGGAGCTCTAAAGGCTATTATATCAGATAGAGATAAACTTTTCACTAGTTTTGTATGACAAGAATTGATAAAGCTATTAAGTACTTCTTTACAATTCAGCACAACCTATCACCCAGAGTCAAATGACCAGTTTGAGAGATTGAACCAATGCCTTGAGTAATACTTAAGGTATATATGTTTCCTTAAGTGAAAAACTTGGATTCAATAGCTACCTTTAGCTGAGTGATGGTACAACACTAGCTATCATACTATCATAAAAATGAGTCTTTTCTAGGCTTTATATAGGTATCCACCTCCTAGGTTTTCTTGGAATGTCAGTAATGAAAAAAGAATATCAACTATGGAAGACTTGTTTAAAAAAAAAATTGAGTAAGCTACTGATTGACCAATTGGAAAAAACTCAACACAAAATGAAGTTTTATGCTAATAAAAATAGGACTTAAAGGGAGTTTCAGGTTAGGGATATCGTGTATTTAAAACTATAGCCTTACAAGCAGATTTCTTTTGCGTTAAGAAAAAATTTAAAGCTATCATCAAGGTATTATGGTTTTTATCCTATAGTTGCAAAGATTAGGAAAGTAGTTTATAAGTTGCAAGTACCAAAATTTTCAAAGTTGTATTAGCCTCTTAAAGAAAAAGGTCGACACTAAGATAATGGTTGGATAAATATTTATAAAGGAAAGGAAAGGAAAAGAAACGAAAACAAAAGAAAGTGATATATATACTCCTTGTTTGGATAATTAAAATTAATAAAAGAAAGGAAAGGAAAAGAATTTTAACACCCATTGTTTGGATAAAAAGTGAAAAAAAAATGAAATGATTTATTATAATAATTTTTTTCTAATTATAACATTTCATTATCTGTGATTTTATAGCACTCCTAAACTATGATATGTTTGTTATCTTGTATGGCCTCATAATTGATGTTATATTAGTAGTTTTTAATCAAGTGAAATAAAAAAGATGTTTTACAAACATGCATTGATGAATTTTTTTACCATTGTCAAAATTTCAGCACACTATCACTTTGACAATGTATTCATATAAAAGCTATTAAATATAAAAAATGCAATCACATAAAAAATTACATCTCATAAAGCAAAAAAATATGTCTATTCGTATTCAATCACTTTGACGAAATGGTTAGGTTTTTTTTTACTAGGTTTTTAATATTAATAAAAGGATGGATATAATAGTCTTTTTATAAAAATAAAATTTGTTCGACTTTCTTTTCCTTAGCTTTTCCTTTAAATTAGGGTATTAAAATTGTGAAAATTACAAAAAAGATCAAAGGTTATTGAGTTTTTATCTCTTTTTTTCCTTTAAATTAAAAATTTGTCCAAACAAAATGGTTTTCTGTTTTATTACTTTTTTTAATTTCTTTTTCTTTTCTTCCATATTCCTCAATCCAAACATAGTGTAGGGATGTCCCTAGTATAACCCTTCCTAAAATGGGCAAGAATGGGCAACCACTGATATATGCAACTATTGTATTTGATCAACAAATGACGAAGAGAAATAACAAGATAATCACTCAGCTACTGGTAGAGCGGTCTAATATAGGTCCAAAGAATGCTATATAGGAGGATTTCTCAATCCTTAAATCTCAATTTTCACTTTTTGATTCTTTGGGGATAAGGATGCTCTAAAGAAGAGAGTAATGTGATGAAATTAGAAGCTAACAAGGATACCAGTAAAAGGTTAAAGAAAATTGACTATAAAAATTATGTAAAGAAGTTGAGAATAGAGTTACCTGGTACAAGCTATCAAGCCAATGATTAATTGGTTATAAAAATAATAGTTAAAAAATAACAACTATTTGTATCATGGATTGTAATTCATTAATTATAAACTATTATGTATATGTATATTTTTGACATAAATGAGAAACCCAATTTTCGTACTCTCGTATCTCTCTTTTCTTATCTTATTTTTCTTTTTTTTAAAATTTTTTTACTCTTATTTAAATTAACCCTTGATTAATTTAATAGTATCATTCTATTACAAGGACCGATATTTATCTGCCACAGCCGCAAGGGTTCGGGCAAGGGTTGGTTGGGCACCAAGCAGGTGAAGGGGGCCTACGATGGGCGAGGCGCGTTCCGCTTCTGGGGCTAGTAATTTGGCCTCACAATTATGCCTGCAAAGCCTCTGCATGCCTCCATAAATTGTACGATAATACCAGTCCAAAAAAGCCTCCTACGACTGCTGGTAGATAAGAGGAGAAATCAATGTTAAGATAGGACTAAATAACCTAGAATTTATTAATTACTGGATTTGTAATTTCATGTGCGTAGTAGTAGCAGTACCGGCAGGAGTAACCATGTCACAACTGTACTAGTTATTTATTTTGGTAAAGCAATGACGCTAGATTTCCTAACTTTTTGGATAAAATGGAAACGAAGAAGTTTGAAGAGAACCTTGGCCATTTTGTTTAATATTCAAATATATCATAGAATTTTAGTAAAGAATAAAATAAAACTTTGGTTTTTTTTTTAATAAATGGCAATTTTATTTATGCAAGAAGCAGGAAAAATGCTACCCAACAAACTGTACAAACATTCATCAATTATATATTAAGATGAATGAATAACAGCTATACTACACCCAAATAAAAGTGTTATTTTTTATTACATGTAAATAAAATTATAGTTTTTATTTATTTATAGTTATCATCATAAATTTTTACAATGAATAAAAAAATCCAACAACATAAAATTAACATTAGTTATCTAGCAGTGTTAATAAACACAAATTATAATTAGTCTCCCTTTATTTCAGTTAGCTTCGGGTAGTAAGGACGATTGGCTTTCTCTCTTGCACTAGCGGCCCCAATTTCCAGCTTCCTCTCATGGCGGCACAATGCAAATGTAGAAGACCCTTGAATCTCATATCAATTTTTAATTTAAATAGAAAAAAGAATAATATAATCATCTAACAATAGTCAGAAGATATTGATCAGAAAAAAAAAAAAAAGTGAGAAGAGAGGGAATTGTGCCCTGTGTGGGTATATATTGGAGTTGCAAAAGGCTCCAGAGATAAAGCCATCGAAGCAGAACGAATACATAAAGAAAGAAAGATGACTAGTTCCTGTTGCCAAAGAAACCAAGAAAGAGATCACAAGGGGCAGGGGAGCTTGGAACACGTGGGAGGGGTTGGATGGTAAAAGGGGGAATAAGGATAGAAGCAAATGAAGTAAAAGATCAACGGTGGTATAATGATCCTGGAAACCCCAGCCTAGAATTACAACGTGGTTGGATGCTGGCGCTGCTGGTACGTACCGCAATAATTCTAGCTGTCGTGATGGGGACGTGGCCCATGGGGCTTAGCACCGCTCCGCTCTTAACCATCGGAAAAAGACAAATAGAAAACCAATCAAGTTGTCTAGATCCAAAATAAAAGGAATGGCTATGAGGATTTCATTTTTCATTATTCAAGCGAACAAATCCTTCCTTTTTCGGTTATATTATAAACCACATATACATAGAAAATGTAAGCAAATCATATACTATTAGGTGTCAAATATATCATATAAACACTACCAACATATCTAGAGCTGATACATGGTGGCAGGCAGCCGTACACTCAGGATAACTTCAAGCGGAGTTGCCTTAGGCATTGTAACGCGAAGCCCTTCGGTCATATTAACAGGCTGATTGAACGGTGTGGTTAAGTCAAATCCCTGGTGCAAGCGACCAATTGATAATTGTATCATTTGCAATGCCAACTTCATCCCTGGACAGGATCGTCTAAATAATATAGTATTTTGTAAGGTTCTAATAAGAAACTCATTGTCCAGAGTGGCTGAAGGATTTCATAGAAACGATAAATTTGAATCATAATGTCTTGTTATTGAATAAAATTAATCATTTGATCTTTTTATGAAGAGATTTAATTTGAATAAGCTCGTGTATATTATAGTTTTTAAAACTATGATATATAATATCATTTGACAATTCATTTCTTGTTCTATTTATAAAAGATTGAGGTAATTAGCTACTTCTACATAATCTGAATTACAAAAGTAAGGCAATAATAATTAGAATTTTGATTATATATATATGTGTATACGTGTTAACATTAATTTATTAGGTGAGGGCCAAGGAGTGAGATTTTAATTTATAACAGATACTTCCGTACATTTCTTTTTTTTTATGAAATTAGGAGTATAAGAGAAATTATATTGATAATAAAATATTACAGTAACTTTGATAATTATTTCTCCTACTATAGCCAAACAAGGAATCCTCCTCTATTGCAGCAGAGGTAAGTCGATGAGATTTTGATTTTTTTCGGATCTTATTTTTAGTGATCAAAGTCCAACTCTTAGTAATCTTATATATATATATATATATATATATATATATATATATAAAGCAAGATGCAGCATAAGTTGCAACCAAATAAGTATGCATGATCATATCTGTTTAGAGTTGATCATAAAGCTTTGCAGACAGGCGTGGAGTAGGAATAACTTCAAGCGGAGTTGCCTTGGGCATGGTAAGGCCTAACCCTTCGGTCATATCCGCCGGCATATTCAATGGAGTTGTCAAATCAAATCCTTGAAGCAAACGAGCAATAGTCAATCGTGTCACTTGCATTGCCATTGATATCCCAGGACAAGATCGCCTCCCAGACCCAAATGGAATATATTCAAAATGTTTACCGAAAACATCAACGTTCACATGGCTAGAAAGAAATCTTTCGGGCAGAAATTCTTCAGGATTAGACCAAATTCTCGGGTCTCGATGCAACTTCCACAAGTTGACAAACAAAAGAGTCCCCTTGGGGATATGGTAGCCCCCAACACAACAATCTTCCATTGCTTCATGTGGAACCGATAAGGGCCCTGGTGGGTAGAGGCGCAGAGTTTCTTTAACAATGGCCTGGAGATAAGATAATTTCTCCATATCAGAGTCCTCAACCCATCTTTCCCTGCCGATTTTAGAGTCTAACTCTTCTTGGGCACGCTTCAAGGCACGCTCATTGTTCATCAAGTTGGATAAAATCCATGTCAATGTGATCGATGTTGTGTCAGCTGCTGCTATTATTAGATTCTACAGAATATAAATTAAAAGAACGGACCATTAATAAATAATCTCCACTAGAATGTAACCGCAGTCTTTCCTTGATTACCAATTATTAGTGGTTGATACAAGGGCACTGAAATCCTTGGCTTGCCTTTCTACAATAGAACTTTCCTTGGGGGAGTATGATATTTTACAGAGTAATTTTTTGAAGGTGCTTTATGCGATCATGAATTTTTCAAATTTAAAAGTAAAATGCAAAATCGTATTTACTTAAAAATAATCTAATAATGAAACATAATACATATATAAACCAAACTTCACGTAAATACATAGGGTCATAATTATTTAAATATTAATTTGAAGGAATAAGATTTATAAAATAAGAGAAAATTATTTTAATTTGTGTAATTCAAATACAATTAACTTTAACGTACCTTTAAAAAAAAAGATAAAATCACAATTTTGTTTTTTGTTAAAAATAAATTTTTAATTTTTTTCAATATTACTTAACTTTTATATATATTTAAACATTTTTTACTTTTACTTGAAAAATCAAAATAATAACACTAAGCATTATTACCAAGTTAATGACAAACATTAAAGAGTGTGTTTATTTATTTAAAAAATTGTAATTAATATATTATTTATTTTTGAATTTATAATAAAATTTTTAAAATATATTTTTTAACTAATTTTAATAAATATTTATAAACCCTCGTTAATGGGATTTTAAATTAATAATAAAAAACTTATATAATCCATATAATTTGATGTGGTCTATGTTGTCTTTGCTTAAGTGTATGTGTACCATTGTTCCTGATTCTTTTTATCACCACAAGTATAGGTACTATTAATTTGATTCTAATTCAAGTATATATTAATTACTATATAGTAAATTGAAGATAACCAAGAACGTACCATTACGGTTGCCTTGATGATTGTGTCACGAGGGTGGCCAAATATAGATTCTTCTGTAACCTTTGACAGAAGCACATCGAGGAAGTCCTGATTGTTGTCTGCTTCACCCATGTCATGTCTCTTCAATTTACGTTCACGAACCCAACCTTCAATGATTGAGTCTAGCTCTTTCGAAACACGCTTCATGCTTTTCACTTGGCCCTGAAAATCTATCCATTCTAGAACGGGAATTACGTCTGCTGGAGCAAAATTACCTGCAAAATAAAAAAGTTCTTTGATGGTTTTCACTGCATGTTGCGCCTCAGCATCATCTTTGCCCTCAGCACACGAAAAATATCGCTTCCCTGCAATCATTTGTAGGATTATGTTAATGGTGAGTAGTTCCAGCCGGTAGCTAATATCTACTTTGTTGTTCGGATTTTTTTCATTCCTCTGGCAAAACGAGTACAACTTTCTGATAAATGCGTCCACATTGGAGATTCTGACGTGCTTTAAAGCCTCGAGTATACGACTAGACAAGAGTTCAGCCACTGCTAGCTTGCGAATGTCACGCCAATATGCTCCGTAAGGAGCAAAGCCCATTGCTGCATAGTTGTAGCCTAAGTACTTTCCCGCAGTTGATCTTGGTCGACTAGCTAATATCTTGTCATTAGTAGTGAAGCAGTCTTTAACAGCCTCGTGGCTGCTAATGACAAGGGCACGCTGCTGTCCAAGCCGAAATGTGAAGACAGGACCATATTTATCTGCCATGGCTCGCCAGGTTCGAGCAGGTGTGCTTTGGCCACCCAGCAAGTGCAAATGGCCTATCAGCGGCAGAGCACCTGATGGTTCTGGGGCTAGCAATATTGTCCCCTTACTCTTATTATGACGCCTCAATAGACTGCAGAAAAGTAGCAACCCTAAAAGCCATGCAATTGCTTGGAAATGAGTGCAGAGATCCATGATTGGAGTAGGGATGTCGACCTATTTAGATTGGATTTCAATTCGGTTTTTTGATGATGGTAGGACAATTAGAAAACATGAACCAATGGAGCAGAGGTTCGTCAAGGAGAACTTTTAAATTGATTTGTCTTCTGACAACTTCGAGTATTTAAAATGGGAATAGACTGCTTTTTACTTATAGTTACTATTATTTTATTTAATTATTTATTGTTATAGTTACACAATGGAGCAGGTTACAAGACGCTGATTAGGATTTAGATTTTTTAAGCATCTTGATCTATTTGAAGTGTAATCTATATTACAAATAAATTGTCTGATTAAGTTTAGTCTTATTAGTTAAGTCATGATATTAACTTTAATTAAAAAATATATGAAAAAATAAAAAAATTACATGATAAAATAGGAATATTCATGTCTTCCAATTTTTATTTAATATATTTTATTTTTAAAAAGCATCTATTTTTTCTTAAAAGACTATTCACTTTAAAAAAATTTTCTTCCCATTTTTTCTCTCCAACACTTTTTTCACATATTTTGTTGATCTTTCGCACAGAGTGGGCACACATATTTTTAGTGCTCATAAAAGAAAAGATAAGTTTTTGATAAATTAATAAATAATTGATTCAATCGGTTAGATTTATTTTTTTAACGAAAAAATTTTAAATTTTAATCACGTCGATAGTAATGAAGTTATATCAAATACACGATTTATAATTACATGTCTTAAACTATCAAATATAATATATCTTATTATAATTTAAAAGATCGAACAATTTATTTATTTTCAAATTTTTTTTAAAAAAAGTTTTGGATAGATTTTATAAAATCAATTAATGCGTTAACCCAAAAAAAAGGATGATTAATTAATTTATTTATTATAATTATAATTACACATTCGAGCTTGCGTGATAAAAGATATTGATTGAACAATAAACATTTAAGCATGTTCATCTCTGTCTTAAGGGATGGTCTGAAAATACTATTCTCATATAATTATCTCTCATGACGTGGCAATAATTTATTGGTTTAAATGTAATGAATTATAGATCACCCATCCACAACTTTAAATGTTATCTTCTGACTTTATGTCATGACAAAATAGAAAAGCTGGTAGCATGACTTAAAACTGTCCACACGCCAAAAAAATACATGACGTACAACTGTCCACACCGTTAGGACTTCCACAAAAAATAAAACTTTTTTCTTTTACGTATATTAGGTTCAATATACTGACAATGTACCTTTTTTTGTTTAAGCAAATGTCTTAAGTATCGTATGTTGAGTTAGGGGTTGATTTTTATAGAATTATATTTTTTATTATAATAGTTTATTTTAATATTTTTTGGTATAATAATTTTTTTATTTAAATGAGTCAATGATATATTTATAATTTAAAAAAATTTTAATGCAAAAAATCTATAACACTATAATAATTATAAAATATATTAATTTATATCACTATAAATTATGATATAAAAATAAAAAATTATTTTTAAGATTAATATAAAAATAAAAAAATAATATAAAAATTTAAACACATATATTTAATATTTCACAATAAATTTTTATAAATAATATTTGAATGTGGAACTTACCAAGTCTAAACGATCTTAAAGTAGTGCATTCACAAGAAAAGAATTAAAAGCTTATATGAAAAATAAATAAATAAGATTTGCATGACTTAGAGGGTTTATAATTATGATATAAAATAATATAAATAAAAAAATATGATAACTTTAATAAAATAGCTTTCTAAAAAGAGAATCTGAATTTTTTTACATTTTTTATGAAATTATAAACATAAAAAATTACAATCATAATAAAATAACTTTGATAATTATTTCTCAAATATAGCCAGACAAGGAATCGTCTTTTATTGCAGAATCGTAGACAACACTAGGTCAATGAGATCCTAATTTTTTTAGATTTATTTTTAATGAGCTTAGGTTGTTTTTAGATCCTGATTTAAATTTGGGAAATCTCATTCTAAATTCAAATTGTTTTGAGTTTAAATGATTTTAAGTTCAATCTTTCTTTTTTTTTTTTATCAATTTAGATCAGAATAGGTTTAGAATTGAGATTTTTTGAGTGAATTTTGGATTTGAATTCATTCAACCGCCTTTATTAGAGGGGTCAATAGCAAAGATTATGTTTGCCAAAGCCTAATTATGTGGTAGGTAAGGGTTAAAACGTTTCGGCTAGGTATTGAAATTTTTTTTTATTAGTGAGCAGTATTTTAATTTTTCATAAATCAAAATTTATTTGTCAATAGATATATTATAAAAATTAAATTATTTGTCAAATGAATAAAAGTGAGCATATTGGTTATCCTAGTTTACTACAACAAATTCCAATTCCTACACAAACTTAAAAAGTGATAACCATGGACTTTGTGGAAGGACTGCCTCAATCTCGTAAATTCAATTGTATTATGGTCATCATTGACAAATTTATCAAATATGCACATTTCTTGCCTCTTTCTCATTCTTACACTACCTTAGATATGGCTAACGCATATTTAAGGCAAATTCATAAACTTCATGGAGCTTTAAAAGCTGTTATATCATATAGAGATAAACTTTTCACTAGTTCTGTGTGGTAAGAATTGATAAAGCTATTAAGCATTTCTTTATAGTTCAGCACAGCCTATCACCCAGAGTCAAATGACTAGTTTAAGAGATTGAACCAATGCCTTGAGTAATACTTAAGGTATATGTGCTTCCTTAAGCGAAAAACTTGGATTCAATAGCTACCTTTAGCTGAATGATGGTACAACACTAGCTATCATACTATCATAAAAATGAGTCCTTTCTAGGCTTTATATGGGTATCCACCTCCTAGGCTTTCTTGGAATGTCAGTAATGAAAAAAGAATATCAACTGTGGAAGAATTGTTTAAAAAACAAAAAATTTTGAGTAAGCTACTGATTGACCAATTGGGAAAAACTCAACACAAAATGAAGTTTTATACTAATAAAAATAGGACTTAAAAGGAGTTTCAGGTTGGGGATATGGTGTATTTAAAACTATAGCCTTACAAGCAGACTTCTCTTGCGTTAAGAAAAAATTTAAAGCTATCATTAAGGTATTATGGTCTTTATCATGTAGTTGTAAAGATTAGGAAACTAGTTTATAAGTTGCAAGTACCAAAATTTTTAAAGTTGTATTAGCCTCTTAAAGAAAAATGTCGGCACTAAGATAATGGTTGGATAAATATTTATAAAGGAAAGAAAATGATATATATACCTCTTTTTTGGATAATTAAAATTAATAAAAGAAAGGAAAGGAAAAGAATTTTAACACCCATTGTTTGGATAAAAGTGAAAAAAAAATGAAATGATTTATTATAATAATTTTTTCTAATTATAACATTTCATTATCAGTGATTTTATAGCACTCCTAAACTATGATATGTTCGCTATCTTGTATGACCTCATAATTGCTGCTATATCAGTTATTTTTAATCAAGTGAAATAGAAAGATGTTTTATAAACATGCATTGATGAATTTTTTTATCATTGTCAAAATTTCAGCAAACTATCACTTTGACAATGTATTCATATAAAAGCTATTAAATATAAAAAATGCAATCACATAAAAAATTACATCTCATAAAGCAAAAAAATATGTCTATTCGTATTCAATCACTTTGACAAAGTGGTTAGGTTTTTTTTTACTAGGTTTTTAATATTAATAAAATGATGGATATAATAGTCTTTTTATAAAAATATAATTTTTTCGACTTTCTTTTCCTTAGCTTTTCCTTTAAATTGGGATATTAAAATTGTGAGGATTACAAAGAAGATCAAAGGTTATTGAGTTTTTATCTCTTTTTTCCTTTAAATTAAAAATTTATCCAAACAAAAAAAAGGTTTTCTGTTTTATTACATTCTTTTATTTTCCTTTTCTTTTCTTCCATTTTCCTCAATCCAAACATAGTGTAGGGATGTCCCTAGTATAAACCCTCCTAAAGTAGGCAAGAATGGGCAACCACTGATATCTGCAACTATTGTACTTGATAAACAAATGGCGAAGAGAAATAACAAGATAATCACTCAGCTACTGGTAGAACGATCTAATATAGGTCCAAAGAATGCTATATAAGAGGATTTCTCAATCCTTAAATCTCAATTTTTACTTTTTGATCCTTGGGGAACAAGGATCCTCTCAAAAAGAGAGTAATGTGATGAAGTTAGAAGCTAACAAGGATACCAGTAAAAGGTTAAAGGAAATTGGCAATAAAAATTATGTAAAGGAGTTGAGAATAGAGTTACTTGGTACAAGCTATCAAGTCAATGATTAATTGGTTATAAAAATAATAGTTAAAAAATAATAACTATCTGTATCATGGATTGTAATTCATTAATTATAAACTATTATGTATATGTATATTTTTGACATAAATGAGAAACCCAATTTTCGTACTCTCGTATCTCTCTTTTCTTATCTTATTTTATTTTCTAATTGTTTTACTCTTATTTAAATTAACTCTTGATTAATTTAATAGTATCATTATATTACAAGGACGATATTTATCTGCCATAGCCGCAAGGGTTCGGGCAAGGGTTGGTTGGGCACCAAGCAGGTGAAGGGGGCCTACGATGGGCGAGGCACGTTACGCTTCTGGGGCTAGTAATTTGGCCTCACAATTATGCCCGCAAAGCCTCTGCATGCCTCCATAAATTGTACGATAACACCAGTCCAAAAAAGCCTCCTACGACTGCTGGTAGATAAGAGGAGAAATGAAAGTTAAGATAGGACTAAATAACCTAGAATTTATTAATTACTGGATTTGTAATTTCATGTGCGTAGTAGTAGCAGTACCGGCAGGAGTAACCATGTCACAACTGTACTAGTTATTTATTTTGGTAAAGCAATGACGCTAGATTTCCTAACTTTTTGGATAAAATGGAAACGAAGAAGTTTGAAGAGAACATTTGCCATTTCGTTTAATATTCAAATATATCGTTGAATTTTAGTAAAGAATAAACTAAAACTTTTGTTTTTTTTTAATAAATGGCAAATTTATTTATGCAAGAAGCAGGAAAAATGCTACCCAACAAACTGTACAAACATTCATCAATTATATATTAAGATGAATGAATAACAGCCATACTACACCCAAATAAAATTGTTATTTTTTATTACAT